TATATGATAATAATGAAAATTCTTACAATTTGATTTGACTGTTTCTTAAATCTAAGCTGGACCAATTCGTTAGACAAAATGTTAAGGGGTAACGTTTTGACAGCAAGTTCCCCAAATATTTTATATTTATGATTCAGTCCACTTTTTCAATCGATGTATATTACTAAATCATTGTATTTGCTAGTTTAGTTTGAAGGTAAAAGCGAGTAAATACTTCATTACAATTCTATAATAGTATAAAAAAATGACATTGTTGTTTCAGTATTTGTTGCTTTCAATTATGTATCTTTCATATCAAGACAATGAATTTTTGTTGTTGTTGTTGTCTTTGTTGTTTTTGTTGTTTTACATAGTTTAAATTGCATCAGTTACACTACGTACGCCGAGTGCTTTCCAATATAGACACCAAATGTTATGTAACACTATAGTTTTATTCAGTTTCACCAACTTATTAATTATATCCTGGTTGATCGGCAACCATATAGGTATCAAGGAAAAAAGACATAAATAATACGTACTTCAATGATCACTGTCAGCTGGGAGAAATTTCGTTTATTCATTGCTTCAATGCCATGTGTAAACGCCTTGAAAGTAAAGCAAAGAGAGGTCAGTAGATTAATGAAACAGAAATCTTTGTTGTAGATCAGCTATAAGATATGAAAATAAACATTGGCTGTTTTATATCAAAATTTAAATTGGCAAGTGTTTTTGTATTTTGGTAACCAATATAATGAATTGCGAGATATTATTTGAATATTCTTTCAATTTGCAAATATGATTTTGTGTTTGTTTTATTTTTTAATATGCTTTATTCTTTCTATAAGATTAAAAGCGATACATGTATTCTAAAGCATGGGTACCTTAACTTTATATATATTTTGATGGTTGATATAGCAACTTTATATCTTTCATAATGAAAATTAAGACAATTTACGTTCTTAATGGCTACTTTTTGGGGTTATAGAAAGAATATGGTATAAACAATGAAAATGTCTACATAAATTGAACTTATAGTATAGATTTTTGGAAAATTCCATCAATTGTTTCAATATGCTCTATTTAAATAATAAATAACACAAAATAAATTTACGGATGAAGTAGGAAGCTTAAAAATGTGTTATTTAATTGTTGTTGTTTTTAATTCTCTCCGTAAATGTCCTTTGTCTGAATGTGTCATGAACATAAAGTACAAACCAAAATAACTTGAATAAATGTAAATTTTCACTTTTTCTTGCACGCAGTTTGCCACTGTAGTCCATGAGCAGGCACAATCAAACGATCTTGCATTATTCTCATATGCCATTGAAGATTCCTTTCATTTTACGTATTCTAAATGCCAACAATACTTAAGTGCAACACTGCAACTCTTTAATTGACTAAAACATGTTATATCAGTGATATTGTCTGGAGGGTAAATGTTTAATCTAAACTCCTGTGCAATTAAGATTGACCCGTCAAGACTCATTTGTAATAAATCTAAAATAAACGTTTAATTAAAGTAGAACAATTGAGTGCACGCTCATTTAGTTAACAGATAAATTTGTTTATCACTTGCTTTGATATGGCAAAAGTTAAATCTTTATTAAAAGCTAATCAAACTGTAAATCTATGTAAAAGACTGTAAAATAACACATGAAGCAAATTGACTCTAATAAAAGCGTAAAAATTCATGAACTTGGGAAGGTATTTTATAAAAGCATGATTATTTACAGTGCTCTATGTTTGTTAAAAGTTCTAAGTCAATATTGATAATTAAGTCAATTGAGTATGAAATATGAATCGTGCCATATTGCATGTATATTCTAAGAAGCTTTCCCTTTCACAACCTACCGTAAAATGTCATATACGACGCAGCTATTTTAGAATTGTGACTTTAAAGTCTTGTTTTTCCAGGATCACTGCTACATCTTTTTAATCTAAAATTGACATTATGCATATCCAAGTGTGAATGATGAGTGCACAGTGTGTTCATAAAAGTAGCAAAATGTAAACAAAGTAGTATTTCGACTTCCATACAAAATACTAATTCACTAAAATCGTACTAAATGCCAAAACGCAACAGAAGATAAAGAAGGTTCAGGTAATTGGTCAATGAGTAACTTTTTGGAAACTATCAAAGTACACCAAAAATAAGAAGCTTTAGTGAAATAAAACTTAATTATTTTTCTTGGGTATAATGGGTCTGTAACATTAAAGATATTTGAACAGGAAATGTATGTTATACGGTTATCCCCAGTGTACGAACAGATCCGCAAAAATAAAATCATCTAAAAAAATTAATACTAAATCACTACAACCGTACTAAATGCCAAAACGCAACAGAAGAAAAAGAAGGTTCAGATTATTGGTCAATGAGAAACTTTTTGGAAACTATCAAAGTACATCAAAAATAAGAAACTTTAGTGAAATAAAACTTAATTACTTTTCCTGGGTATAATGGGTCTTTAACATTATAGATATTTGACCAGGATATGTATGTTATACTGTACTGTAGATGCCTCTAGCAGCTAATACAGTTACCCCAAGTCTACGAACAAATCCGCCAAAATGAAAGCACCTAACAATTACTATCATACACTTACCGCTTCATTCTGTCAGGTACTTTGTTATTAAAATTCAAGTGTTCTTCAGATTAGCGAATTTGCAATATTTTTTCTGATGATAGGATATCGTTTGCTGTGAAATTAGATTAAACTATCTTCGGGCACTTAGTTCTGATACTTTAGAGATAAACATTGCAAGACTTCTTGTTACTGTTTAATAACAAAATGTCTAAAATATTTACTGCCAATTTGCCAACACTTATGTTATTTACGGTATTTCATCAGATGATGTATATTGCATGTGATATTGACCGAAATCTGTAAATTTGATTTAGATTGCATGTTGGAATATAATATTTACTGCTCAATTACTTTAGCGTGATCGATAGTTTGTTTGCTAATTAAAGACTTTAGGGTGTTTGCTTGACTGGGGAATTTTGTCTGGTATAAAATTTGACTGATCTATGTCAAGGATGAAAATAATGCTTTTCGAATTATGTCTTCTTTCTGATCGAAACCAGTTTACTTAATCAACTTCCACTAAGTACTTATTTGGTTGAATTTCTTGTGTATATTATAAACAATTGTACTTTTTCTGTCTTTTATCACGTGTCCACAATATAATTGTTATTAAAATAAATAAGTATAGGTTAGCGTTTATAAGTAAGCATTACAAAATTTAATTTGACCAATTTAATTTGGTAAATGCTTACTAATGAGAAGAAGAAGAAGAAAATTTTATTTAACTTATACATTTACATGTATCTCGTTATACATCAATACATATAAAACATTTTGTCACGGTTGGTATTCAAATGAAAGAGAATAATTAATGTTTCAGTTTATACAATATGGAGAATAAGCTCTAATAAACATGAATTAGATATTGAATAACAGCAATTTTTCACTAATAAAGTGTCTAACAGTGAATATAATGAATATAGTTATAGTCTTAAAGTCTAGGATATGAATTCAATAAATCATTTCTTTTCTTATTGGCTAAATAAATAAATTTGCTAAGATTGTTAAGAACAGATTTATTGTTTGACTTAAGCATTTCTATGAATTTGTACATACTGGGTCTATGATAAAAATAACGTTTAATTAATCGAATTCTTAATTCATGGTAAACACTGCATATAAGAATAAAATGATACTCGTCTTCAATCTCAGAGCATTGACACACTCGGCATAATCTTTCCTGTCTATCTATTCTATTCCTACCATATCTACCTGTTTGAATTCTAAGATTATGCGAAGAAATTCTGAAACGCGTAATACTACTCCTTAGATATTTAGATTTGATAGTATTTAAATAATTTTCAAAATTTAAATCTGTTTTTAGATGAATATAAAGAGTGAGCACTAACCAATTTACTGTTTTTGAATTTTCTTTATTAACAGTCGATTCACTAGCCGATTTACCAAAGTATACGTGTTACAATTCATTTGAAATACTGCAATCATATTGGACAAAAAATAATTTCAATCACTAAGTGTTGAAAATAAACAAATTATTAACTAAGTTACTAGTTACTAGTATGAGAAAGTTCTCTTTCGCTATTATTTTCCTATGTATATCTTCTAAAATGAAATATATGATAATACCTTATTTAAAGTTTAATAATTGTAAATTACAAGCTATTGCTTTGAAACAGAGATGCCGTAAAGGTAAAAATAAAAAGATTATCCATTTAATGCTTATAGAGAGAGAAACCAAAAAAATTCAAGTCCCATAATGATTGAACCATTTTTAATTTCTTCCCCAATATTTTATTCTTAAATCATAATTATTTTAAATCCTTTGAAAATATTGAAAATTGCTACACTGTCTCTTTGATCACATGTTTCGACCTCACACAAAGTAGATACGCTCGTATGTTATGTTTTAAACTCTACATTATAAGAGGCCACAATGTGACTATATAGTGTCATTTAAAAGTGCAGTTTTTTTAGAAAGGACAAACTTAGCTTGACCTTATATGTAATGCAGCTTCCCATACATAGTTTGTACATTCGTTTATTCAAATAAAACATATCCAGTAAAAATTTCATATTTTTCAATAAATTTCTGCGATAAAATTGTTTTACTTAAAGATGAGCATTGTATATCTTTAAAGCTCATCCTAAAATATATAATTTATTATATATTTATCTACGACGAGAGTGAAATGATTCAAGGTGTAGAAAATAATATTGTGAATGTACCACGTGATACTTTACAATGATTCTTTTCCCAGTGACACTGCTGATTTCTTCACTTTTCATATGCTTTCTCTCCTAGATTTTCTAAAAAAAAAAAGAATTTTGTTTTAATGAAATTAAATAGTATAATAAAAACAACAACTTTAAAACGTACTGCATTCTATATATAGATCGTCCTTTTTGTATACTTACTCTTATCCGCTTAAACGCTCTGCTCTCTCCAATAGTCAGAAAGACAAGCTTGTTCTTGAAAGAGCAAATATTGTATACAGTATTGCCCAACAGACAGCGCGCGGAGTGCTTTACTCGTGGATATAACATGCGCGTGATAGGATTATTATATCTAATATAAGTTTGATAATGAATTTATATGTATTTTGAAATGACGAAGTAAAATGCCCTCCGAGGATTTTCAAAAATGAAATTTTGGAATTTGTTTATGTTTCAGATTGGATAATACCGTAAATGAAAGGTATTTATGGTTTGACTTCTTTATATATGTAATAACTAATAAAAAATGAAGTATAATTATAAGTTCTACAATATATCAATCAAAATCGATATTTCATATTTTGCAAAAGTATTTAGAGAAGAATATTTGATATTTTTACAATATATGGCAAATGAATTTTGATACGTTGAGTTTCCTTGGTAACTCATGATAGTATTTTCTTATTATCATTAACTTCTTACATGGTCGATTTTGTTTTTGGCATGCAACAGTAATAGCTTATTGTCATTCAAACAACTAAAATGAAATATATGTAGTATAACTGGCAAAAAGTGAGTACATATGCGGCGCTTGAAATAATAGAAATAAATATAGGACTACAACCAATGAAATTTTCTTTGACTGTTGTATTGGTATTACTTTTTTCACTATGGAAAAGACTTATTTCATATGACATAACAATGGTTAAAACGTTCGACCTCACTAAACTTTGTGTTTTTTAAAATGATTTAATAATATATAATTTATGAAATAATTTATTGATGTAGGAAAATGCATTTCTACATAATATCGTAAGCAAACGAAATTAGAAAGGTAATAACTCAAGAGATTGGGTTTGTTTTAGTATTTAATAGTGAGAGGTAAACTTAGTAGGTAGCTTTCAATCAAATGTTTTGATCAGATATAAAATGTAGCTATTGCCTTTAATTTACAGCTAATCATCACCAAGGTAATATACCAATTATGCGTCTTTTGAGATTCGAATTTGTTTCTTATCAAGAATTCGCAAACTAAATAAATGAATATATAAGAAATTTATTATAAAGTTATATCATATTTGTATAAAGAGCGTAATAATGAAATAAAATACTTTACTGCAAAACTCCCTAACGAAATGGCATTCTTGTGTTGTTTTATATTGACATGTGCAATGAAAAGTAAAGTCCTAGCGGGTTTTTTTCTATTATCATTTTAAAAATCATTTATGATTGGTTAAATACAAATACCCTCCAAGTTGATAAAACCAAATCACCTTTTCGTTCACACTTTCTTTGGTCCCTTGACCGGAATTATCTTTAAAAAAAATTCTGAATATCTTTAATTCGTTACTAACATACCTTTTGCCCGAACTCGGTATGCATATATTCATGAAACATTAAGCATTTGAGCCACATAATTGTCCGAAGAGTTATCAATCTTTACTTTAAGTTTTCAATATCATATTGCCATATATTGAAATTAAAAAAGCAAACATAAAAGGTCGTCACAAATCTACACGGATGTGTGAGCTGGCCATGCTGTTTTGTGAGTAAACAAGAAGTACCTTTAAAAAGATACTCGGCCGAAGTCAAACTTGTTAACTTGCATAGGATAAGCTACTACTAACCATGCTAACCGCAAACAGAACATTTTATTCGTCCTCAATAGTTTTATTTCAGTTCATTTTTACCCGCAATGTTTTTCCCCATTAATTGTCATCTTAGATTTAAACAATATTACTTACATTATTTGATTTTAATCAAAATGGAATTTGATTTGAATAGGAATTTATAATAAAACAAAGATTTAGTAGATACTGTACACTAATTCCACGGAGAATTTTGCAACTGTAAATTAGTCGAAAGTTCGTTTTAATCCTCTTATGTTCGGTTCGAGAAGAGAATATAATGACTAGAACAGCTTAGAAGAGAAACCATATCGAACGCAAATGTATTAAAAAGACGATCTGTCATATTTAATTTCATATATTTATTGAAAAGCTGTAAGAAACATCTAAAAAATATCATTGTTGTATTTTTATATTTATTCTGACTTATATCTTTTTCCAACACTTCTTGCCATCGCGCAATCGAACAGACCTCTACCTATAACGGAAGCTCTTCTAAAGTATCAATCAAACAGGCTATTAGTGTTAGAATGACCAATAGAAATTCTGCCTAAATTCATTCCTTTACTGTTAATTTTAGCGGAAGTCAATGTGAAATCAGACGGCCTTTGGCCGAAAAAAGGTCTAGTTTGAATATACCTCGGTCATACACATAATAAAAGCAATCAGTCAAGGTAACCACTTTCTCGCCATGTGCTCTACAAATGTAGACAAAGCACATCAAATAGTGAAACATATTCATTATCATTCACACAGATTGTCTAGAAAAGCTATTTATTCGAAGCGATAATTCAATTAAATTTGCATCACAATTGATCCATGGTAATAAAGAACGGATTTACGTTGTTAAATACAATTAAACAGCGATCGTCCCATAACTTGTGTAATTCAGCTCTTCCGTCGATGCTAAAATAGAAATAAAATTGAATTGATGAGCAATCTAATAAAAAATATGGTATTTTATTATAGATCATTCAGAAGTGCATGAAAATGTTGCAATTTTGACATACTCTTTTTGAGAATTAAAAAAAGAAATTGATTGTTTCATAGTCTTCACAAAAGTTTTGCAAGTCGGTATAAAGTATTTGTTGTTTTGTTTTTCGTTGTTGATTAATTTTGCATAATCCTGAACGATTGCTGTTGGAAATGATCATCTAAATCAGTTACTTTTTCTTTACAAGGTGTAACATAAAATGATATAGCTTGTTTATACATTGATTATGCTTATTATCAACTCTTTACATAAACTGGTTTTACCACAAAAGTAAAAATTATTTTGTCTATATGCTATCCAATTGAATGTCCTACTTTTTTGAATGTGCTACACAAGCAACAATCAACATCGTAAAAGTGATGAATCGTTTTGATGTTATTCTTTTATCACCTCAGTAGTAGAACAACAACTTTCAAAATTTGTAATAATCTGAACGAAACATATCTAAAATCACTGGCCGAGGAGCTTAAAAAAACAAGTTTAACGATGTTGCTGAAAACCAGAGTTTTGAGAACATTACATTAACACAGCTTATGTTCCAGTAAGGACCATTCCATTTGTAAACCCAGTCAGATCTTCCTATGTGGGAATAATGTCTTAATCACAGGCGCTAGTCACATAATCAAAAATTTTACATAATCGGTCTATATATGTATATAAAGATATAAGGCCCCCAACGAAACAAAAACATCATTCGGATCAAACAAGAACACTGCTGCAAGAAACGACCAGATCACGGTTATCTCTTTCTGGTCGCCATCTGAAAGGATCAATCCAAGCGTTAAAGCTTTTTATTTCATTAAAATTCTTCAAATAGCAAAGAAATGAGTAAAAGTTTCAGAAAATGCCAATATTTTCAATCCATGTCGTTTTCGACGTCCAATCTATTCATGTATACAAACACGATTTCTGGTCGATTTCTACGAAATAAATAGAAAACATCTAAAATTTCCTCATAAAACTCATAAACAAACTCTTTTTCTATCAATCTGCGAAGTCTAAATTGAATTAGAGTCCTCTTTGTACGCAAATATTTAAAAAATATTGGTTGTAGAAGCGGGGTCAAGTAAAGTGCGCCATTTTGAATTTGAAGTGACAGGTAAATGAAGCAAAGAAATAGAATTATACGATTGGTCAATAGTATTCCGGTAATTATCTTAACCAATCAAATCCTTATATAATATTCAGAGCGGATCAATATATACATGCGCTATACATGGCGATAAAATACTGTCACAAGCGAGATCCTTGTGTATTTTTAATGAATTACGTACGAAGAGTGCATTTGATCAGTGAAGACTTCGCAGATCGATAGGAAAAGAGTTTGTTTATGGAACGTACGTGGAAATTCTAGCCGTTTTTTGTTTTTTTCGTAAAAATCGATCAGAAATTGTGTTTGTATACATGAATGGACTGGACGTCGAAAACGACATGAATTGAAAATAATGGCATTTTGCGAAACTTTTCCCAATTTCTTTGCTACTTGAGGGATTATAATGAAATAAAAAGCGTTGGCACTTGGATTGATCCTTTCAGATGGCGACCAGAAAGAGATAACCGTGATCTGGTCTTTTATTGCAGCAGTCTTCTTGTTTGTTCCGCATGATGTTTTTGTTACGTTGGGGGCCTTATATCTTTATATACATATATAGACCGATTATGTAAAATTTTTGATTATGTGACTAGCGCCTGTGTTCTTAATAACAAACACCATCATAACATTATTAAGTAGAATAATACTTATATTCAATAAATATAACTCTTTATGGACGAGACACGCACGACGGGATACATGTTTTTTTCTTCTAATCACTCAACTAAATAATGACCGATCAAGGGTTCTAATGTCACTGCAAAGTAGTACATCTAATTCAGTAACATACATCGAGAAGTTTATCGAGTTAACTCTACTAGCATAAGAGAATTGTCTCACCAGCTACTCTTCTCTCAGATAGACATAGCCAGCAATTCGTATTGTTTAACTTGTGAACATGTGTAGTATTCCTGGAGTATCTAATATTCCAAGGATAAAACTAAAATCATGTCCGATCATCAAAGCAGATGAAATGTGAAATGTTAAATTGAAATAGATTCCATGGATTATCAATAATGAGCTTCTGGAATGTTATCTATGCTTGGATATTCATGTAAATGAGAAGGTATTTTCCAAGATATAACAAGGTATTATGTTCTTTGATAATTTTGTATATTAAATATTGATTAAAAACAGTATCAATGTCCTTTTAGATCGAAAAATAATTGCATTTGATATATTTCCTATAATTTTAAGCCATTATCGTCACCAAATACGAATTAACAAGTTGTAAATCTGACACTGTTATTAACTTAAAATTAAAATTAAATTACTTTGCATTTTACAATGTTTAAAAAGCAACATACTTTTTGAATTAATGATTATAACTTCGAGCAATAACATTTCTGATAATTAAATTCAATAAGAAAAAAAAACGTACAAACATTTTTGCAAGATAGAAATTCAGAACATGTCTTTTATTATAGCATGCATAATTTTTACACTTTTGGTTTCCGTCTTTGAAAAGGGCTGGCAGTAAGGATTTTTATGCTTTATTAACAATAACAAATATGAAAGTTTTGAGTATAAATAATTGTATATTCCTT